TACTTGCTGCAAGACTCAGTTCATGAATCTAGATCATGTTTTGAGCAAATTAATCTTAATGGGATTATAAAAGGAGCAAAACATACAGTTTGAAGTCCTACAGATAAATGTTGGTGCCTGACATATCTTCCTGTGTCTTGCTTGGCTTTCTTATCTAAGGAGCCATATAAGCAATTAAGATATTATAGCTAAAAAAATTACAGACAATACACATCCTTTTCACCATTACAGAAGCAAAATAAATATGTTGACTTAAAGCTCAAACAACCTTCAAGAAGCAGAGAATCACATTTTGCTTTCATTCCCCCATGAGTATAGCTCATAGCTGATGAAATTATTAACAGCTGTATCTGATCAGACAAAAGGTCTGTTCAGCCATGTAATTTCTGAGTCTCATGGAAATTACCATATGTTAGGGGTAGTAGGCAGAAAAGCTCAGAATTGAGTTGTTGTGGCCTCATCTACAATGAGGATGGAGAGTGTTGTCTGCTGCTGCTGGTATGCTACTCCCACATACTATTTCATAGCTGGGGTTCCAATGTCAAGGTGCACCAGGAAGACAGGTTGCAGGAAGGATGCATTCTATCTATTACAGAGGTGACAGACAATATTTCAGATGTGTTTTGCAGTGAAACTGATATACCATATCAACAGTTCTGGGTTAATGTTCGACCTTTGAAGTCTTTTAGAGCCATAATGATTCTATGATTCTACAAAGTTCCTAGAAGTAAAACCAGCTTGGGAGGGCAGAACTTTTCTGTCAGATGTCATTTAACGAAGTCCTAAACCTGTAATATAACTAATCTTTCATGGATATTACTGGGTCTGTGGGTCATGATGAAGGAAGTGTCCTGCTTGATTCAGATTGTTCTACTGAGTTTCCTCTTATAATAATGTGTGCCTTATTCCTACGATAATAATTTATGTTGACAGATGTTATTGTTCACTTCCACAAAAGGTAACAAATGTGTGCTTTTTTTCTTCTCACCCAGCATTTGCTCCAGCTTCCCTTGTCTGAGTAGATAATAATTAGAATAGGAAACCTTGAAGATCAACCTCTCCTAGAAACAGTAACATTCTGACATCTCTACAGCATGGCCACCAACTATTGAGAGAGAGAGAGCTAAGGGATCTTTTACCTTCTACTTTCACACTTTTTAGATGTAATGAAGATGGTCCCTTCCCTTCCTCAGCAAACTGAAAGCAGAACATATTCTGATTGTTGTGAATCTTTGCTTGTGTAGAAGTTTTGCTCCCGGCTGAAAGTTCTTCTTTTTCTTTTCCAAATTCCTCAATGCTTCTGTTCTGTTCAGCTGGTACGAATCCTTCATTTGCACGATTGCTCTTGCATTCACTGAAAATCTTTTAAGATCTCTGCTGTCCAAAATACCATAATATTTATAATTCCTATGAATATTTAAAAAAAATTATCTAGTTGTATACTTCTCAGAAATTATCTTAGACCCAGATGAGTGTAGAATCTTTATTAAAAATGCTTTGTCTATTTAATCGCCAATCTCAGAAGCATCAACACAGTCTCATAAAAGTAACTTTCTTTGTCATCCAGACTCTGCATAAAACTCTGCATTTAATAAATGTTTAAATAACCCATTTTTCATTGAAGAACCAGAAGAAAGTATATTGAATTTTATCATATTTCCTATTTACAAGGATCACTTTGTAGTAATTCCATTGGAATTCTAATCCCTATATTCAGTTTAAGGTTGTTGATTTTTTATCATTTTCTGTCTGAATTTGTTGTGTGCCAGGTGGAGATGGAAGGTGATTGAGAAATCAGACACAACTGCTAGTGTTTGTAATCATATCTAAACCTTGTAAGACTGGAGAGTTCTTATTTCTATTTATTATCACAGCAAATAATGGTTCTAATTATTATTTCTGAATAATAATAATGAAGTACCATATGTAATCATTGACTTTAAAATGAAAAATGTTAGAACATGCATTCTTCATATTATTATTGTATTACTTAATTAGTAAGTCAAACTCTCTACAAATTCAAAATAGTTTTTATTTTGAAATTTAATCTCTATTACTGTTAATCTGGATTACAGAACCATAATTTTCTGGTTTTTTACAGCATGTACTACCCAACATTCTCATTTAATGCATCTTCACTACAGTTAAAATGAACAATTTTAGGCTCTGTACCATTGTAAATGTAGCTGGTTTAATGATAGTTTCAATTATACAACTGCTGTGCATGAAGCGTGTGTTATGAACCATCATTACATACCATGTATATACGAATATGATACATATATTTTTCACCTGTATACTTTAAATGAAAGGAATTTCACAGAAACATAATAATTTAATTGAGAATTATACATCTGAATTTACAAGTAAATAGTTTTCCTGAACACAAGATGAGAAAAGAGTTTGTCATAGACATCTCTTGAACTTGAATAAAGCTGTTATGTAGCCAACTCCATGTCTAGGATGAATTAGAATAACAATACAGTAAGAACTAGCAAAGCTAAACAGCTTTTCTGGTAGCCATGTGTTTGATAGAAATTACCTTTCCAAACAGAATTTAGAAGCTAGATTTTCATACATGATTCTCTGGACTGAAGTATGCATTATTCAAGCAGATATGATTTGCTGAAAATAGTGATGGCTCTACAAGTTTGAAATTAGAATTTCAAAATACTTCCTTTGTTCATGCATAATATTCCAAGACTTGACATTGTTTTTATTAGTAGCACTATTAAGATTCAGACATTTTATGAGACGTGTATGTTGGTAGAGTGGTTTTGGAACAGCAATTTGCTTTACAGCTAAGAAGATAATACCCTAATATATTGCAAATGCAACTGCTTGTTCCTATTTCAACTGGGAAATGAAAATGAAACTAAACAGAATTCCATTTTGATAGCACTGAGTACTCTGTAGGCAGTTCAACTTTTCTAAACCAGTTTTATAACATTCAGACCTGGTTCTATGTCAAAGAGACAGATGTAACATGTATTATGTTTTTTAGCAATCTCTCAAGTACCTTTAACACACTAACTACCATTTCAGCAATAGTAATACCAAGTAATACACTATTAAGTCCTGAGTGAAACATGAAGTAAAAGCCCATTTATTTAATAATTAAAATTTATTTACTTCCTGTAATGGTACTTTGGTCTAGCTGAATCCTAGGTGTGCTTTTATACAATGTGATTCTGAAGGAGCACAAATAGCATCTAAAATATATGCACTCCTTAGTCAAAGTTCCAGACCATTGTTATTTAAGTCATTTTTAATGAAAACCTATATTATCCTAAATGCATCACAAGTTTTTAAAAGCCGTTATTGAAACATGGGCTGTCACTTAGAGTGATATATAATGACTAAGAATGTGGCAGGTCTTTTCTCTTTTTGATTTCTGACACATTTTTGTTAATTTCTTTTTCTTACAGAGCTAAGAACTTTGATGGGTGTAAATTAGTAACATCACAGTACTTATAATGCCACTTTCTTTTAGGTGGCTAAGCTATCATCAGCTCTTAAATAAAGATGAAACTGTTTAGTATTAAGTTATTTGTAATTATCCTTTGGTTTCCTGAACCATAAGTATGGCTGCAGGACAAGGGCATGCCCAAACATCTGCATCTGAAATCTGCCCCGGTTTTTACAAAGATTTTATATTTTTTCAAAACAAAGCCAACAACCTGATTAACACATTTTAAAAAACTTCAGTGGGAGAGGGGAATGGGAAAAAAAATACCATTTTGCACATTTACAGAATAAACATATCTAAATTCATCAAAATGCATCATCACAAGTATTTTGATTTTTTTTTCTTTTTTTTTCTTTGTGAATCAAAAATAGCCAATTTTTTTTTACAGTACAAACATATGTTCATCTGAAAGTAAGAGGAATTGTTTTGATCCCATAGCTGATTCTGTAAATTATGAACTGATAAGGCAATTCCTTGACCAAAATTCATTACAACAGTTTTTATATTCCTTATTACATATTTTGATACAATGCATTTGCATAATAAAATAAATACATTTTATGGAGGAAGAGTTTTTTACAAACTTTTAAACCAGATTATTTAACTGAGATAACATATATAAATTTATTTGTCTATTATGCCCTCCACATAATTTTTACACATGTAGATTTATTCCAGGAATGCATTACAAGTTTAATTAGGGATCATGGAGAAAAATTCAGATTATTATTCCCTGAAGTAATATATCTTGCCTTATGTCTTGTTGTGCCATATGCAGTTGGTTGCTTTTCAACAACATTTTCAGAAATGATGTTTGCTTTCACTTATTAATAAAATAAAATTTTCAGAAACAATTTAGTACACAAAACGCTGGAGAGTAAGCATAAGACCTGTAAATTGAAAAGCAGAGTAAATTTAGAAGTCTTAGTACCTGCAAACTGTGTTCATTGCAGTTAGATCAATCCATATATCTGTCCAATTCCAGAATTTTAGGATTTTTGAGCTTTGAGACATTTGGGAATATTGTTTCATAAAATATGACATAAATTTTGATATCTTAGTCCATGTTTTTTGTTTGTTTTGGTGTTTTGTTGTGGTGTTTTTCTTATTCTATTCTCTAAGTTTGCAGTAGAACTGAATGAAAAATACTGTTTTCTGCTGTGTTGATTTGTGTGTCTTGATGGAATAGGGTCATGTGTTATCTTTATTTGTTCATTGGCAAGAAACTGCAATTTAAACTGAACAAACCCCAGTAAGTTCTGTCTGAAATGGCATTTCAAGAACTCATGTGTTTAAGTACATGCTAAATATTAGTGTTGATTTCCACATAATGCTGAAATAGATGTTTTCATAGTTATTTCTGTAAACTATTTTAACAGTATTTTATAATGCAAGTTATCTATCAGGCTTACAGAAAGCCAAATATTTTCATAAAGCATCATGTATTCAATAGGTTTTGGATATTCAATTTATGCCAATGATTAATTCTTACAAAATATCTTAGATGTAATGATCACTTCCTTGATTTCAGGGGCTGATGCTGTGGAAGCTCAGTGTAAGAGATTTGAAGTGAGAGCAAGTGACAGTGGAAGAGTATTGTTTTCTGCAGATGAAGATGAGATTGTCATTGGAGCTGACAGACTGAAAGTAACAGGTATGGTAATAATGAAGATTCTAAATGCATGTTAACATATAATTTTTAATACCTTTACTAGTAATTCAACTATCAATCTTCTACAAAATTTTAGTCCACTGGAGAAGAAAACATCTTCTCATTGTCAGAGATTGTTTGACCAACCAAAAGATATTGCATAATCTAAATATCAATTCCTCTAAAGGTAGATTTAAATTTAAACTCTGCAGGATCAACTGTGGTACAAATCACACTTACCACTGTGTTTTGGCTTTATATGTTGCCATTAAGTATCGTTTTGTGGTGTGTGTGCCATCTGTTTAGGTAACGCTCCTTCAAAATGTTAAAAAATATTATATATATGGTAGCCTTTGGTTTTTTTGTATATGAAGTATCAAGTCTAACTTCCATATGAATTAAGATTTCATGAGGCTCAGCTGAAAAACCTTGCCTTGACTTGGTATATTAGTTTATAATGAAATTAAGGTTACTGTTATAGTTTCACCACAGCCAGCAATTTAACCTGGCATTCACTCCTCCACCAGTGCGGGTGGGGGAGAGTACTGGAAGGGTGAAAATTAAAAAGAAAACTAATGGGTGGAGATAAAGACAGTTCATAGGTAAAGAAAAAGTCACACACACAGGCAAAGCAAAACAAGGAATTAATTCACCGCTTTCCATGGGCAGTGAAGTGTTCAGCAATCTGCAGGAAAGCAGGGCCCCATCAGGCATAACGTGGAAAAAGAGAATCATGCTGAATCCTGCTAAGGCTCAAACTTGGTCATAATACTAAATGTTGAGAGAATTAATCTTAAATGTACAATTGACACAGGAGATTTCAAAGTGTCTCTCATAAGTTAAAAAATAAAACAACTTATAAATGGCACTAAGAATTAGATCCCCACCACTGAGAAATGCATTCATAAGTTTTTGATGTCATGATCATTATTTTTTAATCAAATATTTGGCACCATAAGAATTAATTTTATCCAGAGATTGTTTGATACCTTTAAATTCTTCAGCAAACACATGAAAGGTGATGAGTCCCTGTGAGCAACATCAATCAGACTGTATTACTCCACATGGCATGATATGACTGATGAAAACTGGCAGGAATTCATAATGTTGAACATCAACCAGAATTTTTTTCTTTAGTTTATTTTTCTCAAGCTTGTGTTTTTTATTATCATAGTGTATTGGGGTGAATATAGGACAGGAATTATGGAAGAAGTAATAAAACAAAAGTTGAATATAAAAAAGAGAAAATAAGATGTGCTTATTTGGAGATAAATCTCTCACATGTATTTATTTAAGGGTAGTACTACAATGAAATTATTTTCTTTTCTTCTGTAGCAATCAATAGTGTCTCTTTGAAAACACTTCACTGTGAATGTGTCCAATAAATTATTTATTTTGGTAATTAATTTTCAAAGTATGCTTATGGGCATTTGTAAACTACCATGGGGATGTGGGATTTTTTGTATATTATTTTTCCTGCATTCGGAAGAATGTCTTTTAATGGTCAGCTTTTAAAAGCAGTCTGTTATATGTCAGTCCAAGAAATTCTTGATTAGAACAATCTGAAAGATTAAGTTGATAGCTTCTCACTGATTATTTTTTGTAAAATTTTTATTTGTAAATTTTTATGTAGGCAGAAAGGTATAGTAGAAACAGGGTAGTAATCCAGATATCCATTTATTTCCCAGATAAGAAAAATATAGTATCAGAAGTAGTACTTTTTGGTTTAGAGACATTGCAGTTATATATTTGTATAGTAAGAGTGTCTCACTTTAAAATTAGGCAATTGGCTGTTTTACTTTAAATACTTATTCTTCCTTACATTGTTAGTTTTGCTTTTTCTTTTAACTGCATAAGCTCTTTTCTGCTTTATTACTCAAGGAAAGAAGAAAAAGGATTCAAAGTTTTATGTTGTTAGAGAGAGCAGTTAGAATTGCAACTGTCTATTTTCCTTTTGCACAGAGATGCCTCCTGCCAACAAGTTTAACATGTATCCTGGAGATTTGGAGAGAGGAAAGAGAAAGGCTTGGTGAAGTGAACATTTTGTTAAAGAACTGGGGAAACAAGTAGTAATAAGAAGCTCATCTTCTGGCAGGCTCACGGGTTCCTTTCTGCACATGGTTAAACCTTTCTCCATTTTTTTATATTCACCCTGCTGTTCCAAGCATCTATAGCATCACAGGGTCTTCTTCTGTCTCTCTGCAGCTATAGAACAAGAATATCTGTTTGATTTTTACTTCTCTTATTTAAATCTTAGTTCAAAATTTTCTTCCCTTTGCTTTTATTTAATTTTTCTTTTACCTGGAATATGATCTCTGTAAGATACTCTTGTAACAGAACTGTACTGGTCAACCTTGTTCCTGAGAGTACAAGCACACATCGTGAGGCAGCTTTATCCTGCCAGAGCACTTTTGAGAAAGATTAAAAATCCCTTTGGTCAGCGTACATTTTCCTGAGACAATGCTGTGAAATAAAGTTATATAAAAACCTTCACTGGAGGGCTCTGTTAGTATAGTTTGTTTGGGTTTTTTCTCTTTTTCCTTAAAGCAAACTTGTAGTTAGCAGCTGTATAAGAAGGATGAAGGAACCTGGAATTCACCTAGTTTTAGTCAAACTGCACCTACTTTTTTTTTGACAATGTAAATGAGGGTTTTTCTGCTTTGTCTTCTGAGGTGGGTTTCTTAGTTAAGGCTAAATGCACACTAACAGAAATTCTCCTTTTTCCCATTCAACTCATACTTTTCTATCCAAATTTTACAAGCATTTTGCTTTTTAAAAATGGTATTTCTCTCTCTATGATTTCAAAGGAGAAGAGACAGTAATTTAACTCACATGTTATCTCCTACAAGTTCTTTTGATCTATGTAATTCCTTCACTTTTCTATAATCTTTATTTAAACATGATTTTACTCTGACCCTTCTTCTGAGACCCGTAAAAACTATAGTGTAATTTCTTTTGTTCCAGGTTTACATAGATTCTATGTCAGTTATACTTGCACATGTGGATTTTATGTTTATTAATCATCCTTTAAAAAGGCAAAGCAAAAATAGATTTGCAAATTAAATTAGATATGTCGTCAATCAGAAGCCATTGCTGTTCTGCAGTCAAATCCAATTATGTTTTCTAGATGTAGCAAATCAGCTATATAATTTTTTTCTAAGTAACCCAGTCTAAATTGTTTGGAAAATATTACTTACCTTTAAGGAAATTTAATTATTCTTATTTACTACTACTTTCTTAATTGCTGGATTATTTTTTTTCTTACTGCTGCATATCTGGGTGGTGCAGTCTGTTTTAGCCCAGGACTTGAAGTCCTCTCTGGATAGAACAGAATTTTTTTATTACGATAACTAACATGACAACAGTAATACTTTTTCTCTAAAAAGAAATAAGGAGCTACTTAGAAATTCCTCAGTTATAGTTTTACCAAGATTGTAGTTCTGTAGAGATCAACCACTTCATAATTTTTGGAAACACAAATTTCTCAGATATATGAAGCTCCACGTCTGTATTGTATGACCTGATCTAATTGGTTGAAGATCACTTTTTTCCCATATTTCAAACATAGAAATAGTTCTCACTGGGGGAATTGCAGTTGTACAAAGGTTTGCACATTGTTGCTTGCAGTGCTAGGAGAAACAAAAGAGGCATAAAAAAATTGCAAGTCATTATGACTTCCTAAGACCTTTCTTCCTCATCAAATAGCACGATCATGTGGAAAAATGGAAGTTGGAAAAGGACAGTAGAGCACATACTGTCGTAGCTTTCTCAGATTAATAGCAGGATGTATATAGGGCAAATATACTTTTACACCAAAACACTGTCAGGAAAAAGTATTTGAAGAGCTGCAAGTATCTTTTTCATTACACTGAAGTATATGCTTGCAGTGGGTTCAGTGTGGCTTTTGATCAGTCATTGACTTCACTAGATGAAAGATGAGAGCCTTGATGTGTCAAGGAAGCTTCAGGAGCTTCCAGCATACGTATACTCCAATAATATTCTAATAATAATCAGAATTAATATGCAGAGGAGTGCATCAATACTTCAGTTTTGATTTTAAGACTATGCTGCAGGACTAGGAGTTTGCAGGTAATTGAAATATAGAAAGGTCTTCCAAGGTAGTTAAAAGGAAATGATAAAGTAGAAATATGGCTTATGGCTATAAAAAGGAAATATGACAGAATTATGAGGAAATATATGTGAATTGCAAATTAGGTTGGAGAAGTAGAAATAAAATATTTATAACAAGTACTGAAATGTAGAAAAATATCTTATTATTTGATGTATGTGGTTATTACAGTAGACTTATATCTTGTGCATTGAGAGACTGAATAGGAATTTCAGTATGAATGGGAAAGAAGATCTTGGATTTTCCATGTTCAGTGGGTGGATTGCTGTTCAGGACAGATGGAGTTTGGAGAGTGAAGTGGCATAAGATGAAGGGAAGCATTTAATCATTTTAAGGTGGCTTATGGAGCCATATTATCTGACCACAGTAAAACAGTATTTGATACGGGACAAAAATTTAATCCTTTAAGCAGATATGACAAATTCTTGGTATCCTGAACACTGAATGAACCTGAATTTTTTTGTCATCATCTGTCAGTAACAAAAATGCATCACATATATAGGATTTCTTTGTTTCCTGAGTAATGAATACATTAATATGTACTCCAGTGATGAATAAGGTTTCTGATGAGCTTGCTTAGCACTTAATGGCTATTCTTGCCTTTAAGGGAGCTCTGACTGAAAGATATTATTGTGGTAGTCTAACCACTTGACAAAACAACCTGTCAGGGCATGACTCTGGAGGTACAGTTACAGAGCTGATTACAATCACATTTATATATCTGACTCAAACCTCTCTATGAAATGAAAGCTTTATGGGCAGACTACAAATGGTGAGAATAAATAAATGAATAAATAAATTTTTTACCCAGGACGTTGCTTAAATAAATTTATAATTTCTATTTAAGGGTAGAATGCATCCAGCCAGCTCAAAC